AATGTGTGAATACTTACGTTGAAATTTTCATGACTTTAATTCTTCTGGCTCTAAATCAGGCAAGGGAATGGGCTTGTTTTCAGATGTCAAGTCTTGAACTGGAGGTGGATCCTGGGAGTACTGCATTGGGAGAATTTGGAGAATTTGGAGAGGAGTCTGGGCACAGCAGGAAACAGTGTTCTGATTGATTAGAGATTTGGGGCATGGGCAAAGAGGTTGGACTGGTGTCTTAAGTGCCAGATATTTACCTTCAGGGATCTAAATGATGTGTCATGTACTAGCTCTTAAACAGGGCACTCTTCTGTAGGACCACTCAGGACCACTGAGATATGAGATTGGAGACAGTACAAGGAGCAAACACCTGTAAATGTGTAAACTTCAGATAACCCAAATTATCTTCTGTGGTATGGATGAATTTTGCAAGGGAAATAAGGACCATGTGTAGGGTTACAAATAGAGTTGATAAAATGTACTATGCATATTACTTAATACTTATATGCATATACACAGCATGATGAGGAATACCAGTGTGAATTCCTATATAAGTATATGATTCCATTTCAAGAAAGAAGATTGAGGAGAGAGGGAGATTGGATTGATGGAGAGAACAGTCTTTTGGGCATCGAAGATCTAATCATACCCTCTCTTAGCTACTGTTTGAGTTGCTCCAGTATCTCAGAAGAATGGTTGTGATGAAACAATTACAGTTTTTTCATTTACTGAAGAAATTTTAGAACTCTCTTTTAATCATAACGAAATTTGGGGTCACTTGGAAGCATCCCTTTTAAGTACAATAGTTGTGGTTTTTATATACATCTTTATTATAATTTGTCAGATTTTGAATTGGAAATAAGGTTTTTAAGCAGAGTAACAGGAATTGACATTTTCACTTAAATCTGAAAAATCCATCTGTCAAGATATTACAGTGACATTGATCCAGAGATGTTTAAACCTCTGTAGCAAAAGAAAGGGAAAGTGAAAATGGGGTGTTGAGTGTACAAACACTCTCCAGATCAGAGTGTGTACATCAGACTGTCAGAGAAGCACACAGCTTGTTGCAGGTAGATTCATATCATCATTTTAATGCAAATACTTAGTGTTTAAATCAATCAGAATTATCTACTGGGCACCTACCCTGGGTAAAACCTACATAAGGTACAACGATGAATGTCAAGACTCAGCTTTTATATGAAAAGAATTTATAATCTAGTTAGGATCATAAGCCATGTGCACTATTACAAAGAAATTTTGTGTTAGGTGGTAAAAGTGTGGTTGAAAATATTATAGAGGAATTCAAGGAACACAGAGCTCTTCCAGTTTAGGTGATCAGGAAAGTCTTCATGGAGAAGATGGAATATTTACTAAGAAAATAATTCTCAAGTGTGTGACTCCCAGACCAGCAGCAACAGTGTCCTGGGAACTTGTTAGAAATGTAAATTCTCAGATTCCACCTTCAAACTACTAAGTCAGAAGCCCTATGTATAGGCCCAGCAGTTTGTGTTTATACAAGCTTGCTAAAATTTGAACACCAAGGAAATTGTGATTAAAAGGTATGCTGCCTGAATTGAGGGGAAAACAGTGATTGGCACATACACGCCTAGTTGAAGATGGCTGTCAGGGGGAAGGAGACACACAGAAGGGTGAGAGTTTCTGTGCCATTTGGTTTAGTTTCTCTTTAAGAGAATTTTTTCTGAGCGCAGTTAGATCCTTATTTCATCCAAATGTCCTTTGTAACTATGTTGTCATTTTTATTTCATTATTCCCATTATTTAAAACGTTTGTACCAACTGGATAGGGGATAAGTGTTGCGTTTTATAACATCATCTGAAGCCGCTGGAAAATGTAAAAACCACATATCGGAATGGTTGAAGTTTTCAGGCTAACTACTGGGTAAAAGTAGATACAGAATAGATGTTTAAATAGAGTGCTCATGTCCTTTCATAAGATCTCAGATAAATATCATTTAGAGATTTAAGTTTTAAAACTAAAATTCATTTTTATACATAAAAAGTGATGTGTGTTCCCCCAGCACTTATGCACATATTTTATAAAATCCAAAATTTAGGGGGCATTTTTAAAGCCCCTACCCTATCAACATTGACTCCATACTTGACTCCTGTGTTTCCGACATGTTGAGCCCTAGGTGAGATAGAGATGTTGATCAGTCACTGTTAGGCAGACACAACGGTGTGGAAGGCTTCACGCCCAGCCTTTGCCCACCCAGCTGCCCGGTGCTTAAAGTGGAAATGTTTTTTATAGTGCTTGCATAAGTAATCTTCTGGTTCTGTGTTCAAAAGAGAAAGTGATTTTATTTTATTTTATTTTGAGTCAGGGTTTTACTTTGTCACCCAGGCTGGAGTGCAGTGGCATGATCACGATTATCATCGCTCATGGCAGCCTCAACTTCCTGGGCTCAGGCAATCCTTCCATTTCAGCATCCAAAGTAGCTGGGACTATGGGCACACATCACCATACCCAGCTACTTTTTTATATATATATTTTTATGGAGACAAAGTTTTGCTATATTGTTCAGGGTGGTCTCAAACTCCAGAGCTCAAGTAATCCACTGCTTCAGCCTCCCAAAGTGCTGGGATTACAGGCGTGAGCCACCGTGCCCAGCCGAGAAAGTAATTTTTTTTTTTTTTTTT